GAAAGAAAATCCAGGAAAATATTAGCAATGAGCTTGAGTTCGCTGAGTGGTATGGGGGCATTGAGGAAGAGCTCCTGGATGCGAGCCATGATGAATTCACGTATGTCGAAGACTAAATACTCCGTACAATGTCACGACGACTAAGACAGCTTCAGCTTATACCAGGATCAGTTGCATCTGATGCGCTCTCATCTTGATAATGTCATCTCGGACACTTCCTCTACACTCGATATCCTCTCCTCTCTTTCCGAGTCCTTCAAGGCGGTCGAAACACAGACTACTGCATTCCGAACACAATGTGAAGGACTGGTAGATGATCAGAAGCGCATTACTATGTTGGCGGATGAGATGGAACACAATCTTCGATACTACCTCTACCTTGAACCGATTACCAAGAGACTCAATGCACCAGGAGCGGGCAATATCGTCAGAGGAAACGAGTTTACAGAGATGCTATCCAACCTTGACAATTGTCTGGAATATATGGAAGGACATGCAAACCACCGCGAGTCTGCTACATACCGATCGCGATACCGTCTCCTCCTTACACGTGCTCTTCAATTAATCCGTGTGCACTTTACAAACGCTCTCCGTGAGATTGCTGCCGACGTCTCGAAGCGAATAGCAGATCGCCAACTGAACGACACCACCATGTCGGCACTTTTGTATGCTAAATTCCGAGTAGGGGCTCCTGAGTTGAAAAGAATTGGTTTGGAGATCCAAAAGAGAGCGGTGCTGCCAGCTGGTGCGGAGGCCGGGGCCGAAGCCGAATACCAGAGTCTTCTGAACGAGCTCTATCAGAGCTATTCGGCAACTCGTGGCCGCTTGTTCCTGCCCATAGTCACCAAGAAGATTAGTGAAATTGCTCAGGCACCAAGTACTTCCAAAGATCTGGTTTCGTTTGCAAGAAGCAGCATTAGCTACATCCGCGTAATATGCTTGGATGAATATGATCTATGGGCGGAGTGGTTTGACGGCGAAGGAGGCCTATATGACTTTCTCGAAGCCATGTGCGAGCCTCTGTACGACCATCTCAGGCCAAGGACTATCCACGAAACGGAGATATTGAAGCTCTGCGAACTGTGTACTCTGATCCAAACAACATACATGGAAGAAGATGAGGATGATGAGGATAGCTCGCCAATAGAGAAGAATAAGCTCGACTTCACCCGTCTGGTTCAACCTGCTCTACAGGATGCACAAACACGTCTCGTCTTTCTATCACTGGCCATCTTACGCGATGATATCGAGAGGTACAAGCCCAAACCAGAGGATCTCAACTATCCGGTCAAGAACAAGAAACTCACATCAGGAAGTGCAAAGTCCAATCAGCCCGTCTTATCTGGAAAGAAGAGTTCTAAAAAGGATGTACCGCCAACGCCTCAAATGCCAAAGACACCTATTGTAGTCGAAGAGGATGATCCCGATGCTCGCTTCAATTTTAATACCGAAGCGGCTTTCAAAGACTGGTACCCAACCTTACGAAAAGCCATCTGGCTGCTCAGTAAGATCTATCGACTTGTACATGTAGGTTTTATATTTTATCGAGTGTGATGGTAAATACTAAAAATTTGTAGTCTTCTGTCTTCGATGATATCGCTCATCGTATCGTCCACAGCACAACTCTCAGCCTCGTCCAAGCCAGCGCCTTGCTTACTAAGTCTGTATCTCCCACAGATGCATCGCTGTTTCTTATCTCTCACCTGTTGCTATTGAAGCAGCAAATTGTCGCCTTCGACATAGAATTTGTAACTCCGGAAACAGGTATCCAGTATGACTTCCAAAGTATCAGCAACACGTTCTGGGAACTTCGATCACGTGGCGGTCTTTTCAATCCACGTAATCTTGTCGGTCTCTTGATTCCGAAAGTCGTCGAGAACATGTTGGATGCCAAAGCTGAGGTCGATGCACGTCTACGCCAAGCAATCAATGACTTCACTGGCCAGTTTGTTGGACGCATGACGGCACCTATTGTCACCAAAGGAAAGCAAGGACCACAAAAATTTCCTCCTGGTGATGCAGCGGCCCGTATATCCAAAATTCGTCAAACCATTGAACAGGAAACACCTTTCCTCCGCGGAAAGCTGTCAGAATATGTCGAGGACACCCGAACGCGCGAGATGTTGGTTGCTGCTGTGATGGAGAACGTTACACAGGCATACGAAGAGTGGTTCGACGTTGTATACACCCCTGGACTACAAACCAACGGCGCGAGCGGAAACAGGAGTGGAAAGGGCAAGGGCAGGGAAGACGACGTTTGGGATCCAGATGTGTTTAGTGAATGGTGTGGCGGAGTTTTCAAAATCGGCACAATGGGTTTGGGCATCATGGCAGACGAGCCTGATGATTTGGATGACGAGGACGACAGTGATGTTGATAGCATGGGCGGAGTCAGTGGAAGGACGGGGACAGAAAGAACAGGCACGACCGGAATCAGGATCAAGATGTGAAGGTACCACAAAGCCTGCAATATGACGCCTGTAAACGACGTAGAAGAAAACAGTATGATATCTCAAAATGGGAATTCACCCCTTCACCCCCCTTTTTCACCACAACCTGTCCAAATGGTATATTTCCCCTCCTCACTCCCTAAACCTCCAATCCCCACACTCAAAATTTGCATAACACCTAAATTCATTACTCAACCCCTTCGCATGCTTCGGCTCAAACGTCGTCGTCCTCGCCCCAATCTTCGCATACAGCTTCGTGATTAGCGTCTCCATGCGCTCCCCCGTACACGCTACGAAACGCAACGATTCCGGCGTCCAGGATTTCGCGAGCCAGCGGACTGTTAGTGCGGCTAATGGTTCGTCAGCATATCATCGTTCCAAAATCTAGAAAGCTCACAACTCGGTAAATTGGGGAGGGGAAAGGAGATAGAACATACCTTTCGTCTGACAATCTTCGCTCAAAAACGGCGGATCCACAATCACCACATCAAACGACCCCTTCATTTCCACTGGCAACCGCGTCGGATGCTCAAAGTCATAGAATACGAATTCGTTTTTAAACACATCGAATCTGGTGTCGTATTCCAAGAGCGTTATCTGTGGTCGTCCGTCTGGAAACTCGAGCTCGTTGAGCAGGTTTTTCAGTGCGATGAAGGCACTTGGGGCGGAGACTACGGCGATTTTTGTCGAGGAGGTGCTGTTGGAGAGGAGGGTGCGAGCGAGGAGGGTGGCGGTTGTGTCGTTGTACTGGTTTTACACTCGTGTTAGAATATTCCTTTCCATCGAGACAATGACCTATTGTATCCACATGTCCATCCATCTTGACTTGAATTCAATGAAGTAAGGCTCAACGTACCCAGAACTGACTTGCATTCCAATCCTCGGTGAACGCGTCCATACTCCATTTCTTGGTCGTATCGAAATCATTTTCAGCCGCGGACTTCAGTTCTTCGAATTGTTTGGCCCGGGTATCGCGTTCGGAGTAGAAGTCTTGCAGGAGGGCGAGGGTGGCGGCCGGGAGCTGGCTTTTGGAATTAAAAATATGTACGTATGATAGTGAAGGATGGAAATGAGGAAGTGAAGAACCTACGGCATATCATCTTCATCCGCCATTGTAACTCTGGGGATGGTGTCGCGTATAGCTGTGATATTTGAAGAAGTGTATAATATGCTTCTCTGTATCCAAACCCGCCAAAATTTCCCTCATCTGCCCCACCATCCATACCCCAGTCCACCATCCATCAATGTCTTATCGATAAGCCAGCCCACTATTCCCCAAGCTCTCTTGTACCTCGGCCTACGACCGCCGCCGCCGCCGCTCCCACCAGTCAATGGTGCAATACCATGCTACACCGCATATCATGGCGATTACGTGCTGGCACCATCGCTTCTCAGCGTCTGTATACCACCATGGCCGAACATCTTGTCCCGCTCCCGGCGGTTGAGAAGCTGAGTGAACGTGTGATTCGTGTACTCGGTGCGAATCCGGGGAAAGTGAGTTTTGTTGTGGTTGAAATGAAATGAAATGGAAGGCTGATTAGGTGTTGTAGTTTACATTGCAAGGTGTGTTTGGGATAAGAGGAAAATACGAATAGTGGATTAAAATTTGTTTTTAGGAACAAATACGTATATCATCGGCACCGGCCCCTCACGCCTCCTTCTCGATACAGGCGAAGGCAAACCCGGCTGGATCGCCTCGCTCAAAACAGTCCTGCACGATGAAAAGATATCGATTTCTCATGTGTTGCTAAGTCACTGGCATCACGACCATATCCGCGGAGTCCCCGATCTACTGTCTCATTCCCCGGACACGAAAGTGTATAAACGGGATCCCGAGGAGGGATGGGAGGATATTGAGGATGGAAAAGTATTTAAGACTGAAGGCGCGACGCTCCGCGCGTTTCACTGCCCGGGACACACAAAGGATCATATGGCTTTTGTGTTGGAGGAAGAGGGTGCGATGTTTACGGCAGATAATGTGTTGGGACAAGGCACGGCTGTATTTGAAGACCTGGCGACGTATTTGTCTTCGTTAGCTTCGATGCAGAACGAGTTCAAGGGCCGAGCGTATCCGGGTCATGGTCCGGTCATTAAAGACGGACCAGCCAAGATTGCGGAGTACATTAAGCATCGCAAGCAGCGCGAGAAACAGGTGCTCGATGTGCTGGCGGGAGAGAAGGAGGGCGGCTGGAGTGCAATTGCGATTGTGAAGATCATCTACAAGGACTACCCGGAGAGTCTGTGGGAGCCGGCGAAGGCAGGGGTGCTGCAGATACTGAGGAAGCTGGAGAGCGAGGGGAAGGTGGTGTGGGAAAAGGACACGGACACATGGCGATTGAGTGGGAAGGCAATACTATAGTTAATCGAGCGATAATTAGGATATCAAATGAGAACAAAGATATATTTCCGTGATGTAAAATCGAGTCATGCCCAAAATAGATTTACCAACACCGACCATCCAAAAAGAAAAGGTCTTCACTTCTTGGACTTATCTTCTGCAGATGGCAAAACGATAGAAAAAATACCAAAAAAAATAAAAAATATCGTAAACGACAACAGTAGGGTTCGAACCTACGCGGCCGAAGCCATTAGATGACATGAACGAATTCAAGTCTAACCCATTAACCACTCTGGCATGTTGTCTGAGCAGTTGAGATGGAACTCGACTTGTAAAATTCATATGCATAATAATCTCAACGAGGTGAAAATCATTGCAGGACCGAAATGATGCAGTGCGCTAGATGAAGCCTATTTTAGTTTAGTGGAGATTGGAGTTCGCATTAGCGGGGCAAGTATGGGCGGAGCATTGAGTGCAGTTTTGCGCGCTGCATCAAAGTCGCTTGATAGGGCTTGTATTGCGACGGGAAAACACATTACTGCATTGAATGGACCGGGCAGCCTATATTATATGAATAACCTTTAGCGCATTCTTCAAAACTACTCTCAAGCAGCGATGCTGAATGAAGCATTGACGGTGAGTTTATTGGCATTTTGTGCAAATGGTAAATCCAATCAATGTTGGAATCGCTTATTCCGGTGATAAATGCACAACCCGAATGCTAAGATGTTCTGACAAAGCACAGATTTTGGAAATACGTTATTCACAATTGTGGTTTGTGTATATGTGAGTTTACAATAGGAAGATGATAATCACGGGAAGAATATCCAACTTGATCAATAGGTATTAAGGGGTTTATGAATAGTAATAATAATAACAACGAATAGAAAATCATATATCAAATCACAATAGTCACCATCATCATAATAGAGAAACAAGTATTATCAACATGTTCGAATTAAGAGGGTCGTAATTCTAGCCATTTCCGGCCATGGTATCATAATCATGCCTGCTTCGTTCTCAAGAAAGTCGAGTGTTCGAAGCCATCCCTCTCCTCAACGCTTATCCGTCACTGACCAGTACAGCCACATCGAAGTAGCTGTCGTGAAGAAGGGTTGTCATAATGAAAAAATCTAGTGCTTGTCACCAAGGCCAACGGCGTCCTTGGCCTTGTCGAGAACGGACCCGCCGGAGCTGCCGTGAACATCGCGGTCCTTAGAGCGGCCTGCCTTGTCGCTAATCTCCTGAGAGGTGGACTTGGAGCCATCAGTCTGGAAACCACTGGGAAACTGTTAGTGAGAGTTCCGATACAAGAGAAGGGAGTAAAACACACCGAGCGACCTTGTCACCAGCATCGGTAAAGGTCTCGCCAACCTTGTCCTGGGTAGACTTGGTGGAATCAGGCTGGATAGACTCCTTGGCCTTGGTGGAGAAATCTTTGCGACCGGCGTCAGACATGATGATTAGGTGGTTTGAGTTGGTGTTTTGTTTTGTAGGTGGAAGCGAGGTTGATTATTGGAGTTGAAGTTGTTGTGAGTTGATGGAGAGGAGGATGGTTAAGGCCGTTGGTGGACGGCTTTAAATATTGCTTGAGAGGATCGGCCTGGATAAAACCCTACGTCATGATAGCAGCAACAAGAAACGAAGACGTGGTGGACCCTTCCGCATTCATCACTGAAGAAACAACGCGCGTCTGTTCAGGACCCTACTGGAGTGGAGACAACTTGGGAAGCCATTCGTCGCGGGTGACCATCTACGTAATATATCGTCATTTGAAAATGCGTGAACAGGGGTCTGATAACATCAAGTCCATTCTGCACGAGCTATCAGATCGAGATGTGCTATTCATTATTCTCATTGGGCCAGTTTCTTCTTTGTTTGCGAGGGGCAGCAAGTTTCGCTTGATAGAGGGGCAAATGCACAATACTGTCTACATATGTGTGATGTCATATGCGCACGGACGTGGTATGGCAAACGCGTTTTCTGGGGCCCAGAATTGCATCGACTTAGATGGCGAAATCTGATGCACGTTTGAACACAGTCGCGTCTCACATATTCCAGACATTGGGCGCTTTTTGACCTGTCGGGTGCCTGCAGGAGTCCACCTGACAGGAGCTTCTGCAGAAGCGTTGCAGCTTGCATCACTCTGATGGCGATGGCGCACATATTTGTTCGATCTTTACGGTATCCTTACTACTTTTCCTGGAGTGGAAAGTTCGCGTTCGTTAACATCCACACGAGAGAAATATCGCGTCAACGGTAACGAACCTGTCTCAGATGATTAGAATATTCTTGTTCCAATATTGCTGCCACTAGTGTCTCTTAGTGAATATATCATAGCACGAATACACAGCAGCCATAGTGTTGGTCGTAAACTCTCAAAAGCTTTGCACACCCACTTGCCGACAGTTCGATGCTTTTCAGGTTTGAGGGACATGGGAAGTTGTAGCCACAATATCTAACCGACCTCTACATGCGCCATTTCTTGCGCGATCTCATTTCAATTTCTGACAGAGGCTCAACAAGTGAACGGAGAGTCCCTGCTTGATTCGATGGTTGACACACGCCGGTGAGCGGGCGAATTCGAGTCGGCGATATAAATTGAGGATGCGCTCAGCTGGCAATAGTCAATCTCTCAGCGGTTCGAAGTGAACGCGGACATGGGGTGTCTCCGGGTCTCCTTGTACTGTGCAGACACCGGCATATATTATTTGATCGCAGTACTTGATGGTCTGTGAGAAAGCGTCGCATGGTTGTTCATGTCGTCCGTTATTATTTATCGAGTGGAATCATCCCGCATCGGATGTGGAGATAATCAGTCCTATCATCATCAAATGTATCCATTCTCGGTCGATTGATATCGAGTACAATGTATGCATGAAAAGGACACAACTCCGGAAGGAAGGAGTAAACTGAATAGGATGGCTGGTGAATAGGGGAAGGAGACCGTCTCTGCGGCCAGGAGAGTCGGTCAGTCTTCGAAGACAGCTAACACGCCCGAGGGCACAGGCCGATAATAAGAGCTCTTTCGCCTAGGAAGCGGCCACGTCGCAAACAAAAAGTCGAGAGGTTGGTGATGTGCATCGTAAGAAGATTCCAAGGTTCCGTTAAGCTCTCGATCCGCTCGACCCTGCGTCAACGATTCGCAACGGAGAAAGGAGGATCGAGACTTTTCGACAAGTACCGCGCAGCACCACGCAGAAGCCAAGAAAATTAATTCCCCGATTAATGGTGAGTTGAGCGGTCCAAGCAGCGTGATTGGTGCTATGGCCGGTGCCTGGGTGGCTGGGAGCGGGATGACGTTCCAGGCTGGTGGTGCGCTCTGCGGTCCAGGTCGCTGGTCGCTTAGTGGTTGCCCCGGACAGCGGGTGTTGTTGTTTCCAGCCTCCTCTCCTCCTTGTTCCCAGCCACACCAGAAAGTCACCAACCTCACCAATTTCTGAATCACCAAAAGAATACAGTCTGCAGGCAAAAGGCTCTGATTTCAATCACATCTAAGCAAAAACCTCTCTCTCCTCCTCACACACACACTCACACACTTGCTACTTTCTCTACCCAGGGACACTTCTGACAAACTTTGTGCGCAGTCTTTCGTTGAGCTCCCATTCAAGCTTCAAGAGCTACCCACCACGTAGTCTCTGGAATTCACACGACCGCAAACCACTGCATATCTTACCCACGACAACTGGGAACAAAGCCAATCGCCCGCTCGCTTTCCTCATTCTTCCTCTCCGCCGGGTCTCATCGCGAGGCACCCTCCGCTGCATTTCATCTCTCGCATTCCTCCCCGGCCCTTCGGGAGCCGTAGGAGACCTCACGGGACCACCAACACCCATAGTTCAGCGGAGACGACGACGACACATTCACAATGGCAGGTCTGCGGTTCGCAGTCAGCATGCAACGTGCGTTTTCGCAATCATCCGATTCTAGAAGGAATGAATGCTAACTTGGATACAGGGTTAATACCGTTCATGGGCTACCACCACGTTCTGATGATACTGATAGCTGTCGCAATCATCCTTCTCTGTAAGTCTTAGCGCAACCTAGCATTCTAATGCGAAAACCTAGCTAACAGCTCCATTCAGCATTACTTCTCGCCGGTTGCTCATCATCATCCCCCTTAATACCCGGCATCTTCCTCATTTCCTTGTGGTACGAGAAATACACACCCACATACTCCACCGAACAAGTCGACCCTGGTGTGACTGCTGCCATCGCCAATATTGTCGGCGGCGCTCAACTCGGTGTTCGAGTAGGCTACTTCGGCATCTGCATCAACACGGACCATGGTGACTGGATTTGCTCCAATAACGCCACCGCACTTATCGACGGTGTTTCTGTCGATCAAGACCCGCTCAACCTGGTCTGGGTCGCCAGCACCTTTAAGGACGCCGTCGTATTCCCATATCTTCTGATTGTCGCCATTATCCTCGCATTCGTGACCTTCATCCTTCTCGCCACTTTCCCTGGCTGGCACGAGGAGAGGGACCGCGAAACGGGCTCTGAAGTCGATGTGAAGCCGTTCCCCTCACGCCCCGTTTCTCAAGTCGCCCTTGCTCTCATCTTCATCTCCAGCATTTTCGTGCTGGTAAGTGTACTGTGGCAGCACACGGCGTCGGTTGCAGCATCGACAATCGCGCAAGATCTTGGAAACGGCAGTGTCAAGTCTGGCGTGGGAACAAGCGCCATGGTCCTGGGTTGGTTCGGTTTCGTGCTGTTGATCATAGTGACCATTGGGTTGCTCGTCATGATTCTCAGCATCATCGTTTTGGACCGCCTTACCGACGATTAAACAACCAAGTCAAAAAAGCCAAAAACAAAGAGACATGCGCAGTATGTTCAGATTAATAAATCGCACGGACGATTCACCAAAAGTGTCGATACCTCCTTAGCCTTTCTTCGTCCGCACCGCCTGTATACCCCGGGCGACTGTGTTGCATTTTCCATTATCCTCTCCCCATTTCAATTCGTTTTGTGTATACATCGTCAACCATACCCCCGATCGACCCCAAATTTTTGTACCTTTTCGCAATTTGCGATAAGCAGCGTGCTGCGACCGACGTAACGGACGACTCAATTAGCATCTTTGCATGGCGTTTTTGGGATTTGAACTTTTGAATGGGAGAGGGTTGCAGAGGCGGATGATTGGACTGCATGAATGGATGGATCAGATGAGAGACAGTATGGCAATCAAGAGATGGATGGCAAATGATGATTCGATGGACGCAAATGGTATGGGAGGATTGTATTTATGTAGATGATCAACCGACTGAATGGGCGGAAATAAATGAATTGAATCGAAGAC